TCCTTTCCTAATCCACAAGTCTTCCTCTCCTCTGTACCTCATCCTCTGAGCTCCATCTTTGGTCTGTACTGTTGAGTTTGGTTCTAACAGTTTTACTTCTTCAGATAATATCGATTCTGGTTTTCAGAGTTACTGTGCCAGGCAAATTTGGCACACAGGAACAGGAAAAATATCAGTAGCCAGCTCGAAGATGTTAAAAACATGGAAGAGAAATTAAAATAAAATGTGTGAGAAATTAAAGAAATTCTTGAAAGCTGAAAGGAGTTAACCTACAGTGTAGCTACCCCATTTGGTGGAAGGCAGCCTGGAGACACTGACTCCATATGTTGCAGCCTAGCGCCTTGCAGACACAGCTCAAGACAGAATGCTCTAGAGCTTCATCTGAATATTGCTTCACCCTCTGTTTCAGCTTGTTAGCTCAGGCCCAGCACCACTGCAGTGCAGCTGGACTACCCCTGGACCCATCCTGGCCTATTTGTTTCTTCGCTGCTCTCCACAGTGCTTCTGCGTTTGGGCAAAGCGAAGCAACTTAAGGCACGTCTGTTTATAAAGTTTCAGAACAGTGGTACGCATTAAGAGCAGACGACATCGGTGTAGCGGTCTGGCTGTAGGGTGAGGCAAGAACAGTTCTCTGTACTGCCTATGTGCTCTCATCTCGGCAGTTCAGAAGCAGATTGGGTGTCTATCTGCCTCACCAGAATTTGTTTTCTCCTCCTCCTGGAGCCTGCAGGAACTTTTAGGGCCCAAGTCAGCCTGTGTGGGGTAGACCTGGAGGGTGATAATTCTACCCCAGATAGTTAAAAATAGTTTTATGCTGCCTTTACACCTGTTCTCTGCAACGCCACTTTCTAGCCTGGGCTTGTCCAAGATCTGCTTTAACTTGCATCCAGCTGCCTCAGGTTCCTACTCTGGCTTGCAAATGTCACATTAGTCAGACTGTTCCAGAATCTAAAAGTTAGAATTTTGATTTACTTTTCCCCACTATGATACAAGGATGATATCTTCAAATGTAGCTTCAAAAAAAAAAAAAAATTGAGCAACATGAGAAGTTAGGGGTTTCCATTCTCAGACAGTTCTGCTGAGTCCAATTGCTATCTCTTCTCCCTTATCTCAAAAGGACAAAATTTCCTCTGAAACCTCTCATTAGTGATCTTTGGTTGTCTTCTTTCTTCCTCCCTCTTCCCCTATGAATCAAAGGTATTATCTTCACAGCTTTTTTTAGTCTTACTTTCTTGAGATGGAGACACAACCAAAGAATAGGGAAAACATGTTTCGCCTGCTGCATGCTACAGTAGGGTACTGAAATGACACAGGATGCGTTGGAGGAGGGCAGAGTTTCCTCTCACACACGGTCCTGAAACGAATGTTTTCTATTAAGAGTAGAATGCAAGTTATCACTAATGACATATGGAATTAAACTTTTGACTACCTATCTTATGGTTTCCTAAATAATCTCATTCTGTCAATGACAGAACTAAACAGATTTTGTACTGTGAAATGTCATACTTCTGTTAACAACTTCTATTAGAGGGGTTTACAGAAATATTCTCCTTTCCCTCCTGTAATCTAGCTAGATGCAAAGATGCACGTGTTCAGTGTTTGTTGGGGTTTGTTACAACATTCTTAACTTGAAGTGTTTTGTAATTATAATTTGGGGCAGTATGCAAATTAAAATTTCAGGGGGCTTCTCTGTTGGATATTTTTGTGTTCAAGAGCTGTGTTTTTGTCTTGAAGAGCTATAGCTGTAGGG